ATTGACTAGCATACATTTATGATACATATTATAAAAGGGCTCGTTATTGCTTCCTAAAACACAATTTTAATTTGTTAAAAGTAATCAAACAAAGAAAATTAAATACATAAGATATTCACTTTTAAATATAAATTTAACGCAAATTAGTCACAGTGATATCCCATTGTGACGGACAATATTTCTAAAGTTAACCTATGCATACACATCGTTGTATTCATAAAATACATTAAATTTCTGTTGATATTTTTACCAAATTTTCTGCAGAAGTAAACTAGGTATTTATATCAAATGTATGTAGCTCATTTAAGAATTTTTAAATGAAATAAATATGATGACGCCATCGTTCTGATCCATTTATACTTATAGAATCGTCGCCATCATTTAGAAGAAAATTCAAAGATTTGATTTAAAAAAAAAGGCTCTCCATTCTGTTCACTATTTTATTTGAAACCTAAAATAAAAAACAAGAAACATTATTTTAAACATAAGAATTTTCATTCAAAATTTTTAAGTACCATACATATCACATAAATGCAATAAGAACATAACATTTTTCTTAAAATGGCAATTAAAAATCAAAAGTGAGCCTTCTTCTTTTGAAAGTGTCAATTATGCAATGAAATTTAAAAGTATAAAATCACTTTTTCGTACAAATGCCATAAAAGAGTACATTTAATTTAAACATTATTCTTATGTATGCATTTGAATTGTTATTAACACCTGCAAATTATACTGTACAATGTTTGGTTTGGTTATACTTTTGCAACCGAACTTTAGATATTATCGGTATCTTTTGATGTGTGCAATTTTTTGGTTTTATATTTCTTTTTTTTTTGTGGATAACCGATATTTATTTAAGTGTTTCAATTATAGTCATATGCTATACTAAGAATATTGTAGAAATTCATAGATTTTACTCGTATAAAGGGAGATGTGTATAAGTATACATTCCAAATATTAAGAATTATTAAATATATTATAGTATATATAGAGACTAGAGAGTTTTTAAAGAGACAAAGTGTTGTAAAATTTGGAATTCATAATTATACAAATAGAAATATTTAAAAAAAATTTGAACTTTCATTTTGAATACTTTTATTTGATTAGCAAAAATATTGGAACTAAAATTTCTTTCTATATGATATTGACGATTTTAAAGGTTAAATTTCAATCTAAATCAATATCAGGTTCAATTTTTGGTTTGTTTTTTAAATTAGTAATTTGTTGAAATCAATAATTCTTTAATAGTTCTGAAAATTCAACATTCAATTTAATGCTTTAATATTGCTTAGAAATTTGAAATTATTTCGAAATTAGATTTTTGTATTCATGATTTTATTATTTAAAATTAGATAATACTTACAATAACATTGTTACAATATAATTGTGAGCGGGCCATGTTAAATTAACAAAAGTATGGAAAATAGTGTAAAATCAAATCAAATAATTTATTAATTTATTTTATTATGCTAACGCTTTAGCATAATAACTATATAGTTTTAATAATAAATAAGTCGATTTAAAAAATTTGTATAAAACCTTTCCTTATTATAATTTTATTATTACTTGTTATTAAGAAAACCCGAGTACAACAATCTGTTTAATAAATATTTTCACAGTAATACTGTATATATTTGATAAACGACATAAAAACTAGTTTTAGTATTATCAAATACCACTAAAAAGTTTTGACTTGCTCTCTGATGTTAAATTTATAGGTGGTTTAATATTAGCAAGTTTTCCAAGTTTGAGATGAAACAACACAAAATACAAGCAACCATTAACAATATCCTAACGTCATCTTTCATTTGTGTCTAACAATGCAATACAATATTTCCTTTTCAAACTAATATTGGTCTCCAATAAGTTATTTTAACCATTTTAAGTAGAATATATTAAATGAGTGTCAGTTGGTTTCTTGTATTATCAGAACCAATTGTCCCTATTCTCGTATAGAGACCCATATTTTTTTTAAACGCTGATATTACGTTTAATCATCTTTTTCTCAATACGTGTATGCTATAATTTAAATATGTAACCTTTATAAATCTAAAAAACAAAATTAAAATACATATACGATACAAAAACCAAATTTAATACTCATGATAACAATCTACTTTAATATAATAAAAAGTGTTATGAAAAATTACTTTATATTCGACAATGTTAACGTAAAATAAGAATAAATACGAGTAGTACGTGCTCACACTTCATTGTCAAATTTAATAAATTTATCAAACAATTATTTTGTACATTTTTTAATAAAAAACTACTGTTTATTGCATATTCATACACTTTTCATTTATTGTAAATATATTTTGATGAAGGAGCATAACTTCAACATTATACAATTAATTAAATTAAAACGAAACTATAGAGTATTCTAAACAATTTTATATAAATACTAACCGTCATAAAAACAAAAAATAGGGGCACATAAAATCACATCCAAAGTAATATATACTCTTCATTCATAATATCAAATCAAATAGCGAAATACGTTCAATAAAACAACTGAAATGACTTAATATTCTTATAAAAAAAAAGATTATAAAAATTATTATAACCAGGATTTTAAGGATTTATATTTTAGCGCATTATGTGTACACGCTTTTTTTTCATTTTAATTTTAGAAAACCGACAACATGCCACTCAGCAGGATATTTTAATGTGCATTGAATAAATTTTCATGAATTTCCGAAATAATAATTGTTAAAAAAAAAATTTTTAGTATTATTTTTTTCAAATTAATAATTTAAAACAGTTAAAATTTTAAAAGAATTTTTATATTTATATAGGAAAAGAATACTGAAAAGGATATGTTTCTTGATTTTTGTTTATAAAGCCAAAAAACGCAACTTTTCTTAAAACTTTCAGCATTTATATAAAAAATTTGTCTTTACAAAAATAGTTTTCAATATGCTAGTTCTGTTTTACCATTGCCAAAGGGTAATTCTGAATTTCTGCGAAGTGTATTTTAATCGTGTGAAAATTCATCATAAGCTGAATAAAACTATAAAATTTTTCCAGTCAATTTCATTATTTAGTTGATGAAGATATTGAGCAGGGGTTTCTAAAATGACATTATAGGTACATAAATATAAAATATTGGTACTTAAAAAAAAATTTTAGGAATTCAATATCATATTTAATTCATATAACCTCAATTTCGAAACACAGCCATTCCTCTTAATTAGTTTAGTTGCAGTATACCCATTAAAAATATTTTAACATTTATTTAAGCTTAAGCTTTGTGTACCTACCTAAAATAAAGAAAAAATTATGAGCATGTTTTTTATCCAATTCAAATTAGTGAGGTAATTAGGTAGGTCAAAGTATTTTACATCACATCTTAATAAGATAAAAATTATTAATTCGTATTTTTCAACAATATAAATTAAGACTCTTAAATCGAAACTATGTCAAATGTTCATGAAAATTTTTGCAGAATGCAATTTTTATAAATCAATAAAGGTAACTTCTTTTTACCTTCATTACCTTTATAAATCAATAAAGGTAATGAAGGTAAAAATCAGGAATACAACTGCTATAGTACCTAATTTAAATAGTATAAAAATATTGATCTCTTTTATTAATTAATCAACAATCTTCGCTACTATTATTTAATAAAATGACTACTTACTTGGATACTTGTTCGTATCAATCGGTTCGATGCACTAGCTAATTATCATCTCTACCATTCAAAGTTATAGCTTCATTTCTTATAATAATTTAATAGTTTCCAGTGTTTTTCTATAATAATTTAGTAGTTCCCATATTGTTTCTCTATAAATTCATTAGAGAAAATATATTTCTTTACTGGCACCAGTAAACCATTTCAATCAGAAATTCAAATGCATGTATGTACAAGCTATTATATAATGTACATATGTATATGCACCATGTACGCCATATACGCGTATTTGCATACTTGAACTTTGTATTACATTCTAGTTCTGCTTGTACAAGTGTAACAACTTGTACCCAAAATATATACATACATACTTATGTGCACATCAGTAGGTGTTTAAGTTGCTTTGCTTAAACTGCTGACTGCATAGGCACAAGTCTACCTGCAAAAAATACATTATATTTGCATACATACTTACTATTCCATAGAAATTTAAGTTGTAGATACTTACATAAAACATTCTAGCTAATCACAAGATACAATATCTTAATTGCGTATATTTTTATGTGCAATACTACTCTTTTTATATTTTTTAGAAATAATATAATGAATATTTTACATTTTTCACCGCTTTTTTTTTAGCCTGTAAAATTTACTGTAATCAAAAATTACTTATCATTCGCATTTAAATTTTCTAATTTTTTTGTGGTAGAGATGGAACATGTTGGCACATAACGATTTCGGATAAAGACGAGTTATTAGTCTATTAAATTTAAACTCAGTTATCATCCCTTATTAAAGTTCAGTTCGAAAAATTAACGGAAAACCACAAAAAAACTCAAAACAAATCCTGTAATGCAAAAATCGATTATTTTATTTAACGGAACACCAAATTTTTAACTTTTTCTTGAACGTTTGAACTTTTTTCAATTTTCTTTCATCTTTCATATCTGTGAAATTGCTAAAATTTGTTAAATTTTTGAACTCGTATAAATTCATACATAACTATTTTTACCCGCCAAAATTTTATTGTGTAAAGTTCGGAGAAAATTTCTGGGTAGAGGAGAAATTATCAGGTGACAGTATTTTAGTCAATTTTTCTTTTTTACGGATAATACTGAACAGATGCAACAATGTTGTAACAACTCATTATAGAAGCGGACCATAAACCTATCTTAATTTATGTTTTAGTATTCGATATTATTCTTTCGTGTTAAATATTAATTTATAGATGAGAATAGTTTTAATGTTTCAATACCGTATTCGATACAACCCTTGCTATTTCACTGTCATGTGTCAATATATAACATGACAATCAAACTGGAACATTATATTTATTGTTTACAAATTTTACTTGAATTGAAAAAGAAGAAAAAGTTGATATTTTTATTACCTAAATCAAAAATAATTTAATTTAATATAAAATATGTATTAAGAATAGTAAAACGTATAACTTATTATATCATTTTTAACTTCATTTGTTTTGAATTAGGAAGAGTTATGCCGGAACATTTAAATATTTTAGAATTGTTTAGTGGAATAGGTGGAATGCATGCTGCTCTTAAACGTAAGTACATAAATATGTAAAAATATTTAATTAAATAAAACTTAAAATGCTATGTACAGGCTCTGGTGCTAGTGGTGAAATAAAAGGAGCAGTGGATATTAATCCAATAGCAAATTCTGTTTATATACACAATTATCCGAATACCAAGGTTTTTAATAAAAATATACAAAGTTGCGATTCTAAATTCATAGAAAAGTTGCAAGTTAACACCATATTAATGTCCCCGCCTTGTCAACCTTTTACAAGAGTTGGAAATCAAAGAGGTTTTTGTAAGCTTAATTTTATGAAATTTACAAACTAACTTTCTTGTTTTTAATTTTAGATGTTAGTGATAATCGAACTGATGCTCTAAAATATATTTGCAGTACTTTACCTAAATTAACTTCAATAGAATTTATTTTAATGGAAAATGTTAAAGGTTTTGAAAATTCAGAAGCAAGGAATTTATATGTAAAATCTTTAAAAGAATCAAATTTTCGCTACAGAGAGTTTATTTTAAGGTTTGTTATTAAAACGCTATTAAATAATGATAATTGTTACAAATATTTTAGCCCTTCCCAATTTGGAATACCAAACACTAGACATCGCTACTTCTGTATCGCTAGAAAAAATGATTTTAATTTTGAAGATATTTTATGGGAATCATTGCCAAATAAAAAATTGCCACTTTGCCAGCCATTTTCTATGAAAAAAATCCTTGAACCTGAAGATGAAATACCCAAAAGTTTATATTTATCAGAGGATTTATTGCAAAAACGACTTATGTTACTGGATATTGTAAATGAAAATAGTACAAACTCAATATGTTTTACGAAGGCTTACACTCATTACGCAGAAGGAACTGGCTCTGTGTTAAGCAAATTATCAAAAAATGAAATGTCAAATATATTCAATGAAATCAATTCTATTGATAAAAATTCTCCAGAATACTTAGAGCTTCTGAAATCCCTTAAACTAAGGTATTTCATGCCTCAGGAATTGTTACGTATAATGTGTTTCCCTGAAGAATTTCAATTTCCATCAATAACAACACAAAAACAAAAATATAGATTGATAGGAAATAGTGTTAATGTATTTGTTGTAAGTGAATTAATAAATTTACTAATCAGTTAAGTTTTGTTTTCAAATTTGGTTTCTTTTTGTAAGTTTTAAAATTTACAATCAATTGGCAACTTCTACACGAAATACAAAAATTACAATGCAAAAATATTAAATTTGTATTATATTATAACTTCATTCTTTTTCAAGGGCCGTAATTCAGCAATTTTTTTATGAGCTTTCCTTCTGTGATCTGATAAAATGTAGAAGAATGAAAATTTTCTATCGCAAACATCACACGTATACTTTTTAAGAGCATCTGGAATGTGTATATCCAAATGCTTTTTTAAGGATGACATATCCCGATAAGCTTTTCCACAACCAGGTTGGTCACAAATTTTGTCTTTTATATCGGCATGTTTTTTTAAGTGTTGTTGCAAATGACCTTTGATAACATATGCATGATCACACAAATGGCATTTATAAGGTCTTTCATTTCGATGAAACCTTAAATGAATTTTTAACTCAGTTGGAGTGCAATAATTTTTATCGCAAAGCTCACAATGATATTTTCGTGGTCTTGCACTTCCTGTAACGTAAAAAAGTAATTATTTTTTTAAGATAAAGAAATTTAATACATAATAAATATTAAACACTAATTTTGGTTATTCAATAAATCGAATATAAGAGTATAAATTTGACTCGCTTGATTTTAACTTTATTTTATCAAACTAACAATTTTCATTGATTTTCATTTTCGTTCTTATTCATACCTGCATGAGAAAACCTTAAATGATTTGTTAAATCACTTCTGTGATTAAATGCTTTTGAACAGTGTCTACATTTAAAATTCCTTTGATTCTTATGATTTGCTAAATGATAACTAAATTTAGTTTTTGTTGTAAAATTACGACCACATTCTGTACAAAAAAAGTTATGTGTTTTCTTATGATTAGTTTTTTCACTTCTATTGCTAAATCTAGCGTGACAATATTCACATTCATATTTTTTATCAAAATTTTCTGCAATAGATTCTATTATATTTTCTTCCATTTCAATATTTTCGTCTTTTTTCTCTGAACTGTCCTCGTATTCGGCAGAAAATATGTCATTTTCCTCGTTATTTATTTCCATACTGATATTATTAATATCATGGTGATCAAATTCAGATAGAATTTCCTCTTCTAAATATTCATCTGAACAACTCTCTAGGACCTCTACAAAAGAGCAATATCAATGAAAGATATAGTGAAAAAATAAAAAATTTACCTTCTTTAAAATTTTCAGCAGCACAATTTTCTGAATATATTTTCTTTAAATTTTTGTACGATTCTTCACACTTTTGAAAGAAAAACCCAATTTCTTCAACATTACACAGGCACGTATAGCAAATTTTTTGGGGTAGTTCATCATTTTCCACCCTAATTATAGTTAAAAGCCAGTCTAAAATTTCATTGTTGATATCACATATACTGGAAAGGTTGCTCTTTTCTTCTGCACAAAATCGACAATATTTCTCCATTCTAATTTGATATTTAAAATATTAAATTTTCTCTTAAAATTTCATTTATAATTTATTTAAATTTACTGAAATAATAAATTAATTTGAAAATAAAATGAAAAACAAATCTTTGTATGAAGCAATATTGTATTTTGTATTAACAATGTTTTGTATTAATGACAGACATTAGACAAGAAACGCAACAGTTTTGTAGTTGTGGTTTTGCAGATTTCACAAAGTATTGCCGATTTCTTAGTTTTTGAAAAAATTAAATTTTAATTTTTGACAATTCGCCGAGTTTTCATTCTTCATATAAAATATTGCCAAACAAATCCGATTTATAGAGTTTGCTAACATATCCAAATTAAAAATAAACGCTTACAGAAACAAAATTGAAAAAATTTTTAACAAATTTTTTTTAATAAATTTGTTTAGAATAAAAATAAATAAAAATTTGAACATTTATTTTTTATTATCTTTCCATAATAATTATTGAAAAAGTCAACCTTTTGGTAAAATAATTTGTACAAAAATGCATTTAAAATTCATATTCACTCACGAAAATTTTTCACTCATTCCAAAAATTTTATTTAATATTTTGCGTTTAGCTGGATTTTTTCTTTTGTATGGCAATATTAAAACTATTGTAAAGTAATTCACAATTGAAAATTTACATTTATCAAATTCATTCTCATATTTGTATTGTACATAATTATAAATTATACCCAATAGATGTCGCTATTATTTGTACATTTGAATTATAAAATTCGTTTAGTACATATTATTTGATATGTACTTGCGGAGAAATTACAAACACCAAAATTAAATATAAATTTGAATATTGCAATTATGGGTTGCAGTTATGGTTCAATAGTTCATATTATCGTTAAAATGTGTGTCGTAGTTAGATTTTTTAACCCTTAGTCATGTTTTAGATTGCCATAAGTTTTTATTTTAGTATACACTAAGATCGCTTTTAATGCGATTTTGAGGTTAATTGGGCAATTTTTGTTTCATTCAAAAATTTCTTAAGCAAATCCACATGTAACGCTCAAACTCACTTCATTTGTTCAACTAAATACTTACCTTAACTCTTCAAATCAGAATGTCAGTGACTGATTTTTGAAGTGAGCTTTTGCAATCCTGGAATTCCTCTTGTACCTGATTATTAAATTTGACAAATCCTGAGCGATTATCCCGAGTGTCGCATTAAAAGGAATATACTGCAAATTATTTTTATTTTAATGGTGTTTCGTTCGAATTTATAATCAGTAGAGAATATAAAATTTTTCAGATTTCAAGTTCCGTTAATTAGAAGCACATTTTAATTTTTGGATCGAAACGTTTAAAGTTTTATTTACCCTTAGAAGAGGTTTTTGCTTTCTTAATATCGTAAGTCTGTATTTTTCCAATTTCTTTTTGTAAAAAAGAGATATTAAATTAAAGTATAAATTAATTACGTGTATAAACTCTAGAATCTAGATATTCAAGAGCTCCTTCAAAAAATTTAATATTAAAGTGCCTAGTAGTCTAGAAATGCCACGCAGTGCAACAACATTATTCATTGTAGCAAGTGGTTGAAACTCAGTGAAGCAAGTATACTATTCAAGGTGTAGCAGCATTCTGCAAATGAAACTTAAAATTCAACCTGCTTAGTTCTGATTTAGATCCAATTACAGCAATATCAGCAAAGTCAAGATATATTTGATTATCATATTCTACTAAAACTTCTACCTACATCATGGATGAAGTTTTCCTTTTGAATTATTTTAAATAAAAATTTTGTTAAAGCTTCAATATATATGCATAATATATGCATATTACACAATAGTGAAATTAAAATTTTATAATGGCTTCAATAAATAATACCGTCATGTAAGTTTATACACGGCCTGTATTTATCAACAGTAAAATAGTTAGTAATTGAATCAAAATATTATTAATCATAAGTTGCAAATTTCTAGAACAAAAACAAAAAAAAAATGCAATGAACAGCATAAATTGAAAATATAATTAGAAATTTATAATCGGTCCCCATATTTACTTTGTCTACAGGTTTGCACTCTTCTTTATCAAGGTTAAAATTACTATACTTAACTGAAAAGGTGCTTTTATTATTATTAATTTTGCAAATTAAAGCAAAATGTTTTTGATCTTACACAATGTTTTTATTCAAGAGCACCTTTAAAAAATTGATAAAGTTTGTTTTTGTTTTCCTCCAGTATACATGAATGTTATCTTGCTGAAGTCTAAATGCAAGATCTAAATATACCTATATGTATGTAATCTGTAATGCAATTAATACAAATAAATTTATTGCATGAATTTCAAGCTTACAACATATACTTACGTGTAATTCTTCATATTTGAAATTTGTAATATAAAGGAACATACCTACAAATTATAATAATATACAGGCTGGTTCGCATAAGGTGGCAAATAATTTCAAGGATGATTCTTTGATCAATTTCACCAAAAAATTTTTGGGTGGCAGGGGGAGGGGGCAAATCAAATTGATCTGTAAGACAAGAAAATAAAGAGCAATCAATCGTCTGTAAGACAAGCACCCAGTAGTAACTCTATGATGCATGGTTCTGAAGTTATAAACATTTATTTATACGCAGGAAGAATTTGCATTTTGGACAGGCTGTATACATAGCTTGAACAGGGTGTATAGCTTGAAAACGAGTTCCCCACCCTACCATCCAAATTTTCTGGAAATTGATCAAAGAAGCAACCTTGAAATTATTTGCGACTTTATGCGAAAAGATATATAAATTTTAAGTTTACATACCTAAGCAGTTTGAAGGCAGATTTATATAACAGTTAATAAGTGTATGAATGTTTGAATTAATTTATTAATAACTGCAAAAAGTGCAGGAACAGGAGCAGAGTTTTTAATGTATGATATTTTCGATTTTCTTTTATAAATTCACTGAATATCACCAAAATTTTTGTTGAAAAATTAAATTTTGCTATGGATAAAATTAAAATTAGAAATATTTTCAATTATAAGAGGCTGTTTGAAAATCCATGTATGTGTATAATAATTATGGTTGATCCATTTGCGTTATCCAACATGTTGGACTGAAAAAGTTAGGAAAAAATTGAAAAAATTAAAAAATCGACAGGTGAAAATTGTAAATATGTTCTTGAGAAGTCAATGTTCCCAATAGTATATAAAATACTTTCATCCAAAGCCACCTCTTTTTCAAATCCTAATTATCATGAATAAACAAAGTTTATTATGGTAGATTTTATCTGAACAAAGTCTCTAAAATATATATTTTTTTTAATAAAATCTGTAATTACTGGAGGTGCTTGCATCTACCAGTATAATTGAATGTTATGTGTAAATTTGAAGTTATGCGCTCTACCAGAATGTTGAATTTAGAACAAACTTAATTTATATTAATTATAATTTTAATTCGTTGGTATAACACACTTCTTTGATCCATAAGCCGGAAACTGCATACGCTTATAAATTAAAGTGACATACATATGCAACCGACAAGCCTTATTTTTTTACATTAAATAAAATATTATGACTTGTCGATTATTATATAGGAAGCGTATATATCATAAATAATCGAACTCGAAATTTCATTATGCAAATATAACGTATACCTACATATAACATCACATAGAGTTATTATATGAGATTTTGTCTGGTTTTTAAGGTCTTGGTGCAGGCATGTACAAAGTGATAGAATTTTAATTAAAATAAGTTGATTTTATAAAAATGATTCTTTGATTGTCGCAACTTATATAGCAACTTTTGTCAATTTACAATCACGATAATTAGCTTGGCAAAACGAATTAGTGAAAATGATTGTCGTTATTACAGTAATGTTAAGTTAGTTAAGTACGCTATTTTATTTTAACTTAACGCTGTTGTGCTAGACATCAAATTAGCCCTTTTAAGATTAGCCACGAAAGTGCCTAAGCAATATTCCATTTTACACACAATTAAGTACTGAATTATACTTCGAAACTGAAATAAATTCCTTCCCCCCCCTCAATTAACAAGGTTTCATTTAAGCAGCAGTTTCAGACAATCTTATTGAAAAACCCATTACAGTGTTCATACCTAGCTACTTAATTTTCGGTTACCATTGAATGATTTAGAAGTACAAATGCTTACATTAGACCCGTTTACATTTTAGAAGCTGTCAAAAGAATTTGGAAGTTTCGGTAATTTAAGCGGTAATTTACGGCAAGTTGATTTTTTATGTTCCTATAAATATTAATAGAAATGTGTCCTAGAACAACTTTTATATTGTTATACTATCTTCAATAAGGAACGTCACATAAAATACGTGGACAGTGTAAAATTGATTAAGAACTGAAAAGAAAAAAAAATCAAAAAGATTTTTTAATGTTGCTAAGCATTTTGAAAATTAAATGATGTTCTGTGATAAGCATGTAAAACTACATATTAAGTTTCAATTGATGTAGGTATCGCATATGAAATATATTGGTATATCAGTTGAAATATTTATATACAATACAATTTAATGCATTCTTATCAGAGTAGTTCCTCTACAGTTAATAATAACTTTGATTATTATTAAACCTTTGTATAGGTGTAAGTATAAAGTTGTTATATGCCTAACACACTAATGAATATGTACTTATTTTTAAGAAATTTTAATCGATCTTTAGTTAAAGATCAGAATATTGAATTTCTTGATAACAGAATCCTATAAAAGGAATTTGTAGTACATGAAAATTTAACAGTACAATTTTTGTCAGTCAATTCAATAAACGACTCAAACTGTATAATCCCGTCCAATATAGCAAAATAATGTTTGCCGCATACAAAATATCTTTATTCTTTGGTGTTGTTGTTTGCTTATTAGCACAACAAATTTCAGCAGATCACGTCAAGTAAGTGAAATTTTACCATTATAATATTAGTGGACCGAAATTTTTTAAAATTTATATTTTATAATTTCTTATGTATTTTGAATAGAATGTGCGTTGAAAAAGTTTCTGAACAAAAAAAATGTGAAACAATGGCTGAAAAAGTTAAAGATTTTGTTAAATTAGAATGTGTAACAGATGCACCATGCACAGAAGTTGTTTACAATGATAAAGCTGATTATACTGTTGTTAATGCTGATGCATATACAAATGTCATGGATAAATTAGAACCAGTTCTTTTTGAAAAATTCGATGATGATAATGTTGTAGTAGCTGTTGTTAAAGCTGATAAAGAAAATAAAGTTCATGAATTACCATTGTAAGTATAGTAAACTTATATTAATTAAGTCTATGCTAGATAAAAATTTGAATTTAAATGTAATAATATTATGTAATTGGAATTTATGCAGAGATTTCAAAGAATCAGATCTTCGTGAAGTGCATGGAGCTTTGTATCTTAATCATTATCGTCATAATGGTGTTTGTAAAAAAGTTAAACCAGCACCTGGGGTTGATACAATTAAAATTGTTAGATATCACGATGTTAAAGATAAAAATGATAAAAAATTGGTATGTGTTGAAAATGATAAAGTTGTTGTTAAGCCAATGGATGAATATATGAAATGTCATGTTGAAGCAAATATTCCAAATGCAGTTATGGTTAAAAAAGGTTCTGATAAAAAAGATGTTGTTGTAAAAATGATGAAAGAAGTTTCTGAAAAACAATATGATGATTTTAAATTATTTGGAGTATTCATGAATAAATATCATGATCTTATTTTCAGTGTAAGTTTCAAATAAAATTTTTTTTATTTCCTTCTCATATTCATAAATTTTGATGCAGGCGATTTAAGGAAATTATATTTTTTTTTCATATTTTGTATATTTTAGGATGAAGCTAAGAAATTCGTTAAGGAACATCCAGCACCAAATGGTGTAACAGTTGATAAATTTGTTGATTTACATTGTGGTGATGTTGATGAACATCATAATCATTAAGAACATCCAATAAAACAGTCCATTGAATTTAAGAGAAAAAAAAAAATAAAAACTTACGTAAATTATAATTAAAAAATTTTGTTTTCCGTTTTAATTGAAATTGGGAAGAAATATGACCAGATAAAAGCGGGTAATAGGGACAAAATTAGGTATAATAAGTAAGATCGATTTCTTGCTTCAATAATTAATTCTCTGATTTGCTGAGTATGGGATAAAAATGGAATTTTATCGTATATGGTTAAGAGCAGACATTTATATTTTAATATATTGGCTATAATATCATTATTGGCTAAATACATTAATATTTGGCCAATCACTTAAATTTAGATCACTGTCAAATTGATTTTTTCAGCAATTAGATTTGCATTAAAAAGGCACATATGCTTATGGTGAATGAATAAACTACTATGAAATCTATACTTAACTTAAGAGTAGAAAATAAAAAATGACACAACTAGGAAACGTTAGTAGAATAAATTCACTATAGTCCAAGTAAATTTATGGTTATTTGTGAACAATTCTAATATAAGAGTGCTATAAATAAAGTTGAAAACTAGATCTATATGTAAAAGTGGCTGATATACTAATTTGATTAACCGGAATTTTGGTATTAACTAATTTACATAAACGTACAGAACAAAACGGAGGCAATTCATTCAAATTTCTGTAGCTTAGTTAGTAGAGGGTTAACTAAGAATACGGTGGCTAAATCACTGGAGTGATTTCAATTAGAGCAGGACATTTTTTTAATTTTTCTCCCTTAATTTGTTTTCTATTTGATTACGTTATCTAAGAAATTTAATATAAGAACTTTTTCACTTTAGTTTTTAGAAATATTTTTTGTGAGATAAATTTAGATTTCCTCAAGATTTCTACAAGAAGTTGCTTCTATTTTGTATACATATTTTAATTTTTTCATTTTTGAATTTGTTACTCTCTCCTCTTGACATATTTTTTACGAAATATGATAATTGGGAACCACACCAAATGTTTAAGTGCGAACTGCAATAAATTTTTGAACCATCCCTCTCAATAAAGCGAAATCCTTTATATATGAATATTATTCGAACTTATTTAAAGAAAACATGTGAATTCAACTGCTTGCTATTGAAAAAACACGTGTTCAAAGGTGACTAGTGTGTCTTATTTTCCATATTTAAATGATAATTTTGTTTTGTTTTTAAAAATTTCCAAATATAGAAATATTTTTATTAGAACGTTACTATACAGGGTTTTTAAATTTTTATTTCAAATTAAAATAATACCAATACAATTTTTGAATACTAATTGAGTTCAGACTTTCAGGCAAAATATTCCGCGGAAATAAACAAAAAGTCAGTTAAAAAGCTCTTTTTTAGCACTTTTCTGAAAAAAATTTTCTAAAAAAGTTTAGTTTCACTCTGTCAGTTCGTCCGTCCGTGGACATGTTTACAAAACTTCTAGACCCTTGAAGACAGAAAGTCAAAATTTTGTGCATGAATTGTTCTTGAAAATGGTGAGCTACAGAAAAGGTATGGTGAGTTTTTTTTAGCGCGGTATAGCTTTGTTAACCTTTAAAAAAATGGCGGTAAAAGTATCCGGCATATTATATTTCTGAAAATGCAAGCTTTTCCAAATTTCTTTAAATACAGAACGCTAACAGTAAATATCATGATATTAAAAAATGTCCAATTCAACCGTTACGTTTATGCTTCTTTCAGTTTATTTCTTTTTATCTCATCCCGAATTTATGCAATAGTTTTATATATAAATTGCTGCACATGTTGAAATTTATTGAAATAATAAAGTACATTGCTTTTTAAAGGGAAAAGTGCTTCCTCAGAAACTGTTTGTTTGTTTGACTCAACTGTATTAAAAACATCTTATACTAATTAATTAAATTTTAAATTCATAATTGTATAGCAGCAGAATTTTTCTAATTATTTGAAAGGTTAATTACACACATACATAAAAAAATTTGCATTTTATAATTTTTTTACCAGCTCATTTTAAATTCTCAATTTTGATTTTTTGTTAATGAAATTATAGATATTTTTATTATATTAAAATTTTTTTTGGTTAAATAATAAGCTTTGTAGCAATTAGTCAGAATTTTTTAATTTTATTAGAGTATTGTAAATTTTAATAATTTCCCTTGCACAAGGAAACATAATTCAAATTCCTAGAAAGTGTAAAACTCACAGCCACCTTTACTAACAGCAAAATTAAAACACCGGAGTAAAAATTGATGGCACGTAACATCCTAGTCAACGGCTTATTCTTGCTATAATCTGTATTGTAATGACGAACATTGAAAAGCTCTACCGATCTCAAGTTATTTGAATTCTCCCTAAAATACAAATATTCCAACAAAAATAGCGAAGCAACGTTTTCCGATAGAAGTTGATGAATAAAAACCACTTCAGCCAGATTATTCTACGAGAACACCACGTTTGCAAATCTAACAATAGCTAATTTTCATACGAAAAGCCTAACTTCATTTTGTTTTTATAAATTTATTTAAAATTTTTGAAGCTTTCGCGTGTGCTAAAAATTAATAAAAAAATTTTTATGATTTTCCAAATTTCTATAAATAAGTCAAATTTTTTTACCTGGAAATATTCAAAATAAAAATTATTTTATTATTCCAAAAATGAGATTCTGATTTCGAAGAAGAATTTTAATTTTATAATCACAATTATAATTACATTTTAATGAATTTGATGGTTATATTTGGAGTCTAGACGTGTATCCTAATAAAATGATTTTTGTTAAAGCTATAAAAATCTTATAAAATACCGACTTACGAGTAAGTATGTATATCATAATTCATGTTAATGACAATAAGACTTTCTTACAAATTAACCATGTGACATTTTTACTAGGTTTGAATAATTTATAAGTTTAATGAAAAAAAATAAAAAAATTAGAGATTTCGAGAGTAATACGAACTATGCGACAGCTGATTAAACTTGTTTTGATTTAATATTTTAAATTATTAATTAAATCTATAAAATTCTACAATAGAATTTCCTCGAATCAGAATGACTCAGACGAAAATACAAAATTCTTCATTATAAATAAGACAAAAAAATAAGATGATATTTTAATTAATAATATTAAAAAGCTTTCAATAGAGATTTCAGCTTATAATATAGAAATTATAAAGCATTAAATATTAAAAATGCTAATTTATATTAGATTAAGTGATAAATAATAAGATTGAATTTTTAATTGCATAAAAGTTTTGTCAGTTAGTGCATTGTACAGAAGTGTTTTGTTTACATGTTGGTATATATGCATTTAGGCTCATATTTATATAATATAGAGTGGGTGGGCTACTGATAGTTTCTATAATTTAAATAAAAATTGAAAAAGAAGATATTGGATGAACAGTAAAATAATATGTCCATATACTTGAGTTAGTAGACTCAATTTTTTAATACAATTTTTACTATTCGGCAATAGACATTTGAATGCACCTTAGATCTTTATATAAAATTCTTACTTGTTGGCATTAACTTTGAAATTTATATATATGGAAAATTATTTAAGTACTATCTTTTTTTTCAATTTTTCAAACTTATAATTTCATATTTTTTTAAAAATTTTGCGGAAATACTGAACAAACGGGTTCAATATTTCAAATTGAAAACGCCTAGTCGAATTTCGTAGTTTCTAATTTTATTAGAAATTCTGATTTCTTATATATAGTTTTATGTGCATAATTTGATTGCATAGCTCAAAAGAAAGTACAAGGGGTATGTTTGTTTTTATTTATTTTTATTCTCTAGTGCTTTAAGAAATTAATCGAACACTTCAAAATCTTTTTTCTTTTCAAGAGAATCAATATTGTATTGTTAATCAACTGGTTTGCTAACATTTTGTTCATTTGATTCCCATAAATGTCCTGCAACGAAAGTTGTAGATCTCGTCAATCATGTTTGTTCATGATCGTTTTCAATTTAATTGTACTACATGGCTTGAAATAGCTCGAAAAATTTGATGCAATTTTCGAGCCGACCGAATTTATTATTGATCGGATGAACCGTTTATTAATAGGGAGCTTTCATTACTGTAAGCACTTCGGCAAGCAAAGCTATTTGCCAAAGTTAGAATTTACTTTCCTTATGTATTTCGATAGACAAAAAAAATGTGTCACACAAACATATTGTTTTTTCTTTTTAATGTATATAAAAAGCCAGGACTTTTAATTCAATAATTAATCTTTAAAAATAGTGTGTATCAATTTTTTTTTTTAATTTTATTTACATAAACGTTGTGACATTCTTAGAATCCAAAGTGTTTGATCGGAATAACAATAGCATTGTGTATTTAATTTATCAGAGCGAAAAATTAATAACTTTCATTTCAAATGTGAACCATAATATTCTAGACAGTTATTGTATGCATAATTTCTCAGAATAATAATTCATCAGGAAATCCCCGTAAAATCATGTTTATTATTTTAATTCTGAGTAATTGATCAATCGATTCCGAACTCAATTGCCAAAAAAGGAAAACAAATTGGAAAGTGACAAAAATTTCCAATTTAATTAATTTTTTTTTAGATTATTAATTACCTTACTGGCTTTCAAATGTTCTTATTGATTTTTAAAATTTTGAAGACAATACTTTATGTAAGTTGGGGTACGTGTTGCTCAGTATTACAAAAAGGAAAACTGTACCTACACCGATTACAAAATTTTTATTCAAATTACTGAATTTTAATTAGAAAACAGTTCAAATTTTTCAAAATTGCAAAAAATTAATTTTCAATAATTATAAATATATAATTATGATTGATTCGTGTGAATTTATACTGCAAATTCGTATCTCATGTTGAAACGCATGAAAATTTGCATGACAATATGAACAAATGTGCAAATAAACTTAGAATTGTTATTAAATTTTATTTTTATTTATTTTTAATTTTCAAAATAAGCAGGTCAATTCTAGTTTTCTATTTTCTTTTATTTATAATATACGTATATAACAGTATATAACAGTTGTTATAAAAATTAAATCTATTGCTAAAATAATATAAAGATGAAATGGCGTTGTAACAGTTAAGCTAATAAAAGTGAGTAATATAATAAATATAAGAGACGAATGCAAGGTCAATTTAGATTCAAAAGCAATTGCTAATTACAAATAATAGTTATAAATATTAATGGCCATAAAATGTAAAGCAGTAAATCATTAATAATTAAAATATTATTGCATATCAGTTAGTTTCTTTGAATGCAAGTAGCGTCGAAATGTAATTATATTTACGGTAAGTGTACAACAATGTTATTTTACGAGTTCTTTGAATTTTTATCTTATTTACAATGGGAAAATGGCGTTAACTAGGTTCTTAATCAGCAGATTATTATTTACAGTATCCGGACATATCACAGAAATAATTTAATTTAACTTATAAATTTTCTTTGAGAAACTTTAAGAATAATACCCAAAGAACACTCAAACTAAACTCATTAGAATAAAAGTTGTATTTCTTTTTTTTAGGAACCGGCCACAGTTTAGTTAATTGTTTGAGTTGAAAAAACTTTCTTTCCTAAAAATTGAAATGTAGTTCTCTTTTTTAATTTTTTGTTCAGGGCACTTAAATTATATGAAAACTAAGTATAATTAAAGTGACCTGAATAACATATGGTAACAACATAAGCAACTATACTTAAAACAATTTAATACCATCAAAAAGTTAAATTTATAGTTCGAATTTATGAAGGTTCAAAATGAATTACTGAGGAGTTAACTGAATCTTATTTCACTTATGTTCCTACTTTATACCTATCCTGTACACCATTGCAGCTTTATTACAACTGCAGTATTTGAAATGTTTATAACTTATATGAAATAATAAGATAAAAATAATTTATAAAAATATAATTCTCTTAATAGTTGTTTGCTAATTGAACTGTACAAGGAATTCTGCAAAACACAAACTAAAATTTTGTGAAATGCTATTAATTAAAATTAAAATTAATTTGGCTGCAGTTGCAGGATTTTAGATTTTAAAAGACTTCTCACATTACCTGACTAATATTTTTTATCTTTTCATTTCTATGTTTTCGGTCGATAAAATTTTCGATCAGATTTTTGAAGTCCAGAAGAAAATTTCAGCGGGAGCTTCAGCGTAAGTGGCAATAAATATTGTGAATTTATAGGTTTATGCTTCATTTTCCAAAATTTAAGAAATTGGACTGACAAACAAAATGAGTACAGAAATAAAAAGAGAATTTAAATAAAATTATTTTTAAAATATGCACATAAAAATTTTTTTCCTTATTTTTTTTTCTAGAACTAATTCAACAATAACAATAATTATTATTTTCTAAGAAAAATTAAGATTAAAAACATTTATAAAATATTGGATATTAAAAAATTTTTTTCAAACTGACTCTATATAATTGGGAGAAAACTTATGAACATACAATTGTACAATGAATTATACTTAAATCGAACTGCAGTTGATTTATTCAATATTCTTAAGTGGACTCTATATACTTGTACAGCATTTACGCAAGTACACACAAGCTTAAATTTCGCAATAATTTCTTTAGTTCCCCAATGATGCACTGCACTCTATTGAAACTAATTGAACAAATTATATACAAGAACTGAAAACATTCCTTCTCGGATTCACGATTAACAAAAAACTATATATGTATGTATTTATGGATTCATGTAAATTATTTGTAGCGATGGGTCAAAATTCTAAATCTATTAGAATCAGTTTTATTCTTATTTAGTTATAATTAACAGAATCTACTTTAGTTCTTTCAAGTACCTTGTTATTTTCGGGTTTATATTGACCAGATATGTCATTTACCGACACAATTTTCTTTATCAATGAACGCTTGGTCTCTCGTATAAATTTTTTCTCTTGCTCTCAAAAACTTCTATTTGCTATCAGCGTTCCCACTTGGATACAATTGTATCCATTTGGATACATTTTTGCTCTAAATTTGGGCTTGGATACAAAGATACTCAAATCTGCTAAAATTCCGAAATTGGCTACATTTGAAAATTTTGCTGAAATATGGCTACATTTTCTTTACAAACACTAAATAAATATTACAAAACAGTTAAAATGCTGCTAATATTTAATCGTGATTGTTGATTTATTTTCAAAAAATATTATTTGCTGGCTTTTCTAAGCAAGTTTCCGAATTTTTTGGAACAAAGTAAAAAACATACTTTATTAACCGCCTATTCTTGTATTCAAATCTAACATTTATACAAGAACATACCAGAAATATTTTAGTGTAAACTAGGTGTTATAGAAAATGCATTGGCTGTACATACTTTTTAAAATTTGTCCGTTTTCATGGTGAATCATCTTTACCGCATAGTAGTTCAACAACAACAGAACATAAACATACATATGTTTTCTCTTTCCTTAACTTTTACACTTAAAATGTAATAAAAGTTGTATGTGCTTTCTTAAAGAATTCACTATAAATAACAAAACTCATATTGTGGAATAAAACAAATTAATATTAATTAGGGGTTAATTTGTAGAAAATTAAACTACTTAGTATAATAATGCTATTTTAAGAGGTTGGATACATTTTGGATACATTTTTTTCTCGAAATTGGATACATTTTGTTTTTACCAAGTGGGAACACTGTTTGCTATTCCTCTTTGGAGAAATTTTTTGTTGCAAAAGATTAAAGAAATGTTCGTTTGGTGGTGATACGATAGAATAATATTATTTGCAATTACACATAATACCGACGTCTTATGTAATGCTGAGTAAATGATTTTCGAATATAGTTTGTTCAAACGTTTATATTTTTCTATTTATGTCTATATTTGCGAATTCAGTGCCTCGATGGAAGTTCAAAGCTTTAAAATAAGATCACTACTGGGTCCACAAATCAAAAGTAAGGAAAGTGGATACTATCGTTCTGATTAAGGAATACTATTGAAGCTATAATGCTTTATTTATGCCATTTTTGCAATATTCGTATTAGTATCGTTAATATTAACAAAATTCAGCTGCAATAAACTTTACTTGTTATACCGATTAGCAATTAAATTGAATTTTGCTTTAAGCACATTTTTTAATGTTTAAAATAATTAAAATAAAATAGCGATCCAATTTGTTAAGTTTAATAATAAGAATGTTTGAGTTTGTAATTATGTGTCGCTTTAAATTTGAAATTATCATATTAACAGTTTGAATTTACCTAGGAAAACATACCTGTAGAATTTTTAAAAGCTTCAAAAATTATTTTTTTTTTTAAATTTTAGTTAACACTGTGGGATTTTCCAGTTATTATAAAAGTATATGTTACTACATAAGCACATACATAATGTATAGATGCAAATTTTAATTTTAAATTTCTTTAGAATTTAGTTTAAGAAAAAAATCTTGTTTATTTCTTTTATCATTTTTTTTTATATTGTTTTTATTGTTGCAATTTATCCAATGCATACAACACGTTTGTTTTTATTTTGTTTTCTTCTCTTTCAATTCTCATCTTCATATGTTCTTAGCACTTTTCTAATGAAATTTGAAAAAATGGTCTTATTAGTTTTACTCCGCCTGTTCCACTGTGCATGTGTCTGTTTTCAAAATTTGTGCTATATTTCATTTGGCTCCTAATCTTACTTTACTAGAAGAAAATATTTTTTTCAAAATTTTTAAACTTGAAAGTCCTCAAAATGCATTTTTTCAGCAATTTATTGTATCGGAACCACAATTATTTTTTGAATTGCGAAGACGCAGAAAAGCAGCGACTTGTTTCTTCTACTGCGAAAGAGCACAGAAGATTCAAACATCATAAAGGCAAGGAGGGTTGTTGAAATTAACCAGTCTATTCTGCATTTTTTGGATTCTGAAGAGATATCTTTAAACGACAAGTTGTAGGAGTCACATGTAAAATTTTAGCAGCTTTCTGATGCTAATAAATAATTTATATTTCTAGAAAAAAAAATTTTTACTATCTCCTTCCCTTTACAAATTATCGCTTCCCGAAATTAGTAAAATTTTTGGTACCTTGTATTTCCGAAACCGTAAATTTCTATAAAAGTAATTTACCTAAATTCACATAATTAACCGTCGAATTTCATTATTAGACTTCCAATTTTTTTTTTTTCCTAAAAGTATGCAATATTTTTTCGGTTGCATAAAGTCATTTCGGGCTTATATTAAGAATAATTTTGTTTAGTTAAGTAGTTAGCCAGCAAATTATTTTTTAAAAATGCACTTTCATTTGTCCGAAAGAAATGTGCTACTCTACAAGCCATTAATTTGATACTAATTTATTTAATTCTAATTAATGTAGGGGAATTTTTATTTCAAATTTTATTGACATTCTGTTTATTTTCATTGTTTACCTTTAAAGTTCAAATAATTTTTATGTTGAAATTTTTTGCAATATGTTTAGTTTTTGTTGTTAAAAAGAGAGTTATTCCCTTTTCACTCTCTTCAAATGAGTTTTGTTTTTATTTTTGCAAGTTTTTTGTTTGAGAAAAAAATTAAAAAGTATAAAATGCTCGTGAATAACTCAATTCAAGTACAGTTTAATTTTAATCTTAGTCAGATAAAAGTTAAGAGAAAAAAAAATTAGGAAGAAATGTTTTCTTTATTTAAAATAACTTTATTTGTTTGTGCAACAATTTGCGCTCAAACATATGCCGGTACAGTTAGGTAAGGATTAAAATATTTTGATATTTTATATTTGTTTTAAATCTAAAATATGTGGATTTTGTGTTTAAATAATTTCGACAAATAAAGGTTTATAAGACCAAATTTAGTTTTAGTGCAAAATTAAAAAGGATTTAAAAATTTAATAAGATTCTTAATTGGAAGAAAATACAAAATGTTGGCAAAACTATAAAATTTTTACAATGTGATGGCATTTACTGTTGTGATAAAATTGTATTTAACTTTCTTTTGGAATTACTGTCATATCGTAATAGCAATTGTTGGAATTTAAGTACAAAATATTTAGAAATTAAATCGCGAAATTTTATTGGTAATATTAACGTTGTGTTCTACAAACTTTAAAGGAATCTTCATTAGTCTCAAAGTGAATATTAGTACAGAATCAAATTAAAAATAAGAAATTAGATCAATAAATTTTTGAAGTAAAAAAATATTAATTTTTTAAAGTTTTGTGAATTTTTGATAAAAAAATCAGAAATTGCATAATTAGAATTAGAAAATAAAACAACTTGGTTTTCAATCAATCGATCAGATTTAGAAATAAATTTAGAAATCAAATCAATTGATCAGATTTAGAAATTGCTAAAATATTAGCTTGATTCATTCAATTCGATATCTTACATTGCTTATAATATTAAACTCCAGTGCTCCAGTGGACTATGCGTTACCAAAATATTTTATTTTTGTGCTAACTTTCGAATAAATATAGAATTATGATGAAGATTCTATGGAATTCGAGTAACATTTCAGCTAGCTTATTTGCTCATTACAAAATACATTTGAATATGCTTCAATGAAAATTCAAAAAATTGCGCTAATCAAATATTCTAAAAATCAAATTCTTTATTACAGACTTTGTGTAGAACAAGAAGCTTTAGAAAAATGTCAAGCTTTGGGTGATTTGTTAAAAGTTCAAAATGCTGGTGCCGAATTCGAATGTGTTTCTGATGCAAATTGTATTGGATCGGTTTCTGCCGGATCATCTGATGCAACAATTGTTAATTCTGATGAACATCCTGGTGCATTAAAAACATTAGAAGCTGTATTATTTGAATCATACGATGAAAATAATTTAATTGTTGCTCTAATTGATGCTGATAAAGAAAGCAAATTACATGATTTACCATTGTAAGAATTATCAAAAAAATTTTCAAAATTTTTTTTTAAATTTTAATTTTTTAAAAATTTGATTTCAGATCTTATGATAATAAAGATGATCTTCGATTATTACATTCAGCTCTCTATATTAATCATCATAGAAATGATGGTAAATGCCAAAAAGTAATTCGTCCAGGTGAAGGTGATTCAATCCGTTTGGAAAGATATCATGAACTTAAAGATACAGAAAATAAAAAACTTGTATGCATCGATGAAGGAAAATTAGTTGTTAAACCAATTAGTGAATTCAAAAATTGTCATGTAGAAAGTAATATTCCCAATGCTGTTATGATTAAAAAAGGTGCTGAAACCAAAGAAGAAATAACACAAGCATTCTTAACTGCAGCAAATAAAGCTGGACATGGTCGTCAATTCCAATTATTTGGCCCATTCAAAGGAACTAAAGACTTAATTTTCAGTGTAGGTTGAATTAGTAAGAATGTTTTTGAAGCAAAAGATAAAAATTTAATATAAAATTATTTTTATTTTATTGCAGGATGAAACCAAAGCATTAGTACCAGTCCATTCTGAACCAAATGGAATTTCTGTTGATAAATTCCTCGATTTACATTGTGGTAATATTGAAAATCATCATCACGCCCATGATCATGAACATGCTCATGACCATGCTCATGATCATGATCACGATCATGGACACGATCATGATCATGAACACGATCACGAACACGATCATGATTATGAACATTATGGACATTAAAAAAAGGAAAATAACTTGCACTAAGATTATATTTTAAATTTGTATATATTTTAAGAATGACTCGATATTTTATTGAATAAATTGTTAATTACTTTAGTCAGAAATATTTCTTGCTATTGTTTTTAGGTTCTTTTTAAGACCGAATACGATTTTGATTCATCAATTCTTAAATAAATAAACATAAAACTTAAAACGCACGACTTTTTCAGAGTATTGGTTAAGGCATTATGAATGTAAAACTTATATCTCAACTGTGACTGCTAATAAATTTTGAAATATAATCAAAAATTTGGATGAAAGTCTAAAGAAATTTGGATCAAGAAGTACACAATTTTCCATATAACTTATAGAAAGATAACAAAAACTAAGTCTACACTTACTAATTCAAAATGGCAGATACTCACTCTTAAAGCTCATTTAAACAGAATTTTTCAATAGTAATATCTTAATCCCTTTTTTTTACGAACAATTCGAATTTTTGCATTTCAGTAACAAGTATAGTTAGAAACGCTAGCTTTTCGAAGCAATAAATTTCCTAAATTAAAATTATTTCTCATACGGGTTATGTCAGACTATAGAAATTACAGCCAGAATTTTGCAAACTGAACTTTTTATTCACCATAATTTGTGTGAGTCAATGTTACAACAATAATTGTATATAAATTCGATATTATACAGCTTAATTTAAATACAAAGAATAATATTTTAACTACCTTCTTACATATTCTTAAAACTCTTACCAAAATTGCGGTATAAAAGAAATTGATTGTTTTCCGATTGAATCATATAGTGTAGACTGTGTAGAATTTTTAAATATGCAAGTATAGCTACAAATATACAAAGATATTAAGTAAGTCTTGCAATGACTGACTGTTAAAAAGTAAAGTTTTTTAAAAAAAGTAATCGGTATGCGGAATAACTTCACAGTAAATTTGGTTAAATTTTCTTGTTTATAATTTTACAAACTCAGTGTTTGAACACAAAATGATTAAGTTGCGGTAATTATAGTTTAATTTTTTTCATTTTTCAATATTACATATTTTAAGTTTTAATACACAGCCATTTCGGAAATTAATCTTAATCCTAATATTACAATAAGTACATATTAGTTCTCCACAAACGAAACTTACTTGAAATTTTTGTTTTGCCCTTTCAATAATCCGTATATGATAAACGAGTGCATAATATGTAAATCGAGGATAAAGGGCATTTCGTTGATTGAGGGTAAACACTGGGCAATTCTTTGGTCGAGGATTGGTTCTTGTTGAAAGGACATTTACTATTGAATAAACAAAAATATTTTACATTTACTTTCTAAAACTTCTAAAGTTAATTTCTATGTAAGTACCAACTGGTTACTGATTTAAAGGCATTTTTAAAAAATTTTAAAGTACGCCATCTATGAGAAAATTCAAAAATAAGAATATTTTTAAAAATTTTTTTTCCTTCTTTCGATATAAGACTAGTTTTTTAATAGAATTTTTTCGTTAGTTCTACGTTGTTTAAAATCTACCCCGCATCTTTTTTACAAAAGTGGTAGACTGTTTCTTTTTCTTCATTCAATTTTGAAACTGTTGTTATATTACCTAAAATATTTATTCGAAATTCAAGTAAACTAAAGGCAAACAATTTATAGATATTTTATATTTATCTCAGATAGTGGTTTCTTAAGGTAAGTTGGACGAAAATTTAAAATTTCGCAAAATGTTATAAGATTTTTTAAAAGCTTTTAACGTGTAATATTGGAAATCTTTGAAAAATTTTAATTTTCCCAAAATCGTTCTCTTATTTAAATCACTTGAAAACTCATCAGCTATTTTTCTATAATAGTATAGTATTTTTCGTATTTTCCGAAATTATTTATTCCCATATTGACATTTGACTTATAAAAGCGAAACTCTCTTAAAGGGTAGAGACCCTCTTTTAGAATTAAAATAAGCCTCGGTTCGCATTTGAAATCGTGTTTTTGATTTTCTTTTTCCCTTTTGACTTATGAAATTCTAATTTAATAGAATTTCAAATACTTAGAAATAAATTACTTAATTCTTTAAGTTTTCCACTCTTATCCAACTTTTTCATAAAACATAAGATTTCAATAAAAATTAATTCTTGCACACAAATCTTAATACATTTTCCGGCATGCAGCAAGGACATAGAATTAGCAACATTCTGTGAAGCTTAATCAAACAAAAATTTTCAACAATACTCTTATATTTTCAAACAAAACGTATGTTTAGTATTTAGCAAAATATATTATCCAATATTGGAATGCGATATGCATCATAATCTTTGAAATTGCCACTTACTTAGAAATAGCTTTTATAATTTAGCATTAGCATTACAAATCTTATACCTTAATATCTTTATTCCATATAATAAAAACTCGCTAATATGAACTATTCTCAAAGATTATATCGTAACTTTTCAACAGGTTTTTTAAATCTGGTTACTGTAATCAACGTTCGACTTCTGATGAAACAGAATTCTATCTATGACCCAAATAGCTAATTATCGAATGACAGTAATATTACGTTCTTATTATCTAAATTTCTTAATAATTTTATATTGTTTACGTTTATAAATCATACACAGAATTTCAACAATATTACAAGAACAAAACTTTTATGTTTTACTTATGTATCTTTGTATGTATGGATATGTGTAAGTGCATTTTTAACTCTTATTTTCGAAATGAGATAAGGAAACATTGCTCTGTTATATACACACAATCATAATTATTTTCCAAGCTTTTGTTTAAAGTAAAAAGTTCTATATAGTCTAGTGCGTTTATTATGTTAAGCTTTATATCGTTTTACGATAATTTAATTTTAATGGATTTCCCAACCATTTCTCTATACACAATATAAATTTTAATTACTATGTTTTTATTTTAGTTACTTTAGTTTGTTTTGTGTAAATTGTAACACATTTGTTTTTAATTTAAGATTGCCTGTCTGTTCATTTATAAATTTAATAATGAGAGTACTAAAGGCAGATTAAATGTAGAGATACTTAAGTAAAATGACGCTTAAATTTTTTTGAAATATTCTTTGGATTTCTAGCGCTTACCACAATCTATTTCTGCGTTACCTATATTAACTTATTTATTTGTTATTAGGCTCTTATAATCTTTTTGGATTTTATCAGATATTTTACACAAACAAATATAATTTTGACAATAATCAAAAATGTGTTCTACGGTTAAGGTTGTAATACTTTACATAAAGCCCGAAAAATTCCTTCAAGAAAATATTTAATTTATGTGTTAAGTTTTTGTTACCTATTAAGCTAGAAAAAAGAGACGTATTATTGTAACCCTTAATATCCCTTAACTTAATTCTACGTTTCGATAATTATGAAGATTAAAATAGCCCTTTTAAAATGTAGATTTGTACATCCCAACAACGTATAAGAATCTATTGTGCGCACCTAGTCTTGACCCCAACGACTCACAAGTCTGCAGTGTCTCAACAAGACCCTGGTAAGGATTCTCACTAATTCTTGGCCAATTCTATACTCTACTTTAAACGCTTCCAGTCATAATTCTCCAGAAACCCCTTGGCCTGCCGCAGCCTCAGAAGACTTCTGCTGCGTTCCGACCGCCATCTTTCTGCTTCCTTTCTTAGTTCCCTAAAGTATCAAGAATATGTAGTCTGATTTCGCAGAAGGCCTCGGAGCCAAGGAGAGGTGTGTTAGCCACTCTCCTCGTCAACATGTCCGATCTCTAATTTCCTTAAATTAAGTTGTTTTCGGTTAGGGGTAAATATCTTAATTCTTGTAAAAACTGTCAATCGTAAAAGGTTTAGCAAAAACTTTTCATATTTACTCCTTTAAAGTGATGAATACTTGCCGAATACATATCGAATTAAAATTGATAAAATAATGTCAAATATGCACCGAACTCTCTTTAAAAAAATCTTTAATGGATTTTTATAAATTTGATTTAATTGTTGAGTAAATGAAATTATTTATGCAAAAAAAAAACTAAAATTTATTACACTATAGAATTAATAATTTTCTGAACAATGCCCGAGTGTAACAACACTGAGGAAAAGTGACGTATCTTTCGTTTTACACAAAATTTATTTTTGACAATTCCTGTTGTGTTTGTACTAAAACAATTCACAATAAAATTCTGTATTTCACTGTTATTTAAGTATCATATGCGTATTTAAAACTAAGAGGTGTAAAAGTATGTACGGGTACATGAAATGCATTGCAAAATATTCTCTTCCTTTTCGCTCTTTACATTTCTTGATGTTTTAGTGTCTTTTATAATGAAAATATTTTGTATGTGTGTTCACTGTTGTAAATTCAATTGAAATTTAAGAAACCATTATGAAAACAAAATGTGATTCACCTGATTTTTTATTGTTTTTCTTACGAATATTTTCATTTTCCGATCAGTTGACAATTTCTTCACTTTACATTTTAATGTGATATCGTTTTATCATTTTCGAAAAATAGTATAAATTGCAAGTAAATTTTTTAAATCAAGTATAGTTTTAACTTTATTGTAAATCAATAAAGGTCAAGAAAGGAAAAATATTAAAATTTAAAAATGTTTTCAACATTAAAAATTACCCTAGTAGTTTTGGCTACTGTCTACTCTTGTACTGAAGCAGCTAAAGTCAAGTAAGTTTACACTAAAAATAAAGATTGGAATTTTAAATATTAATTTTAACGAATTTATAAAGACTTTGCGTTGGTAATGCTAAATCTTTGGAAAAATGTCAAGCAATGGGTGATGCATTGAGAGTTCAAAAGGCTAACGCTGATTTTGAATGTGTTTCAAATAAAAATTGTATTGATACTGTTGCTGGTGGATCAGCTGATGCTACAATTGTTGATGCTGATGAACATCCAAATGTTTTGAAAAAACTTGAAGCTGTTTTATTTGAATCGTACGATGATAGCAACTTAATTGTTGCTCTAATTGATGCCGACAAAGTTAATCAATTAAATAATTTGCCATTGTAAGTAAAACTTTATTTTTAGGAATGAATGGAATTAATGTTTATAATTTTCTATTTGGCAGATCATTTGACAAAAAAGATATTCGTTTGTTCCATTCTGCTCTTTACATTAACTATTATAGAAATGG